TAGCAAAGGCCAGGACTCCTGAAGGACTAATTGTATTCATTCACTTTCTTGGCCCAGCATGAAGCTGGTAGCTTGTTCCTTTCATAGCAATAGGAGAGAAGGGAGGTGCCATCTTTATCTGTCCCTGTCCAACAGGAAACCAGGCCAGTGAGGGGACTGCAATGGAATGCCTGTTCAGAAGGTATTTTGCAAGATTAAACAGCAGAACATTCAGGAAGTTAATTTGCCCCAAGTAGCTAACTGTTCCACCTAAACCTGCCCCTGTAGTCACAGACAGAAAGCTCCAAAGCCATTGTGCATCAGCCACAAAATAAACCTGGTTCATACCACTCAAGTCACACAGCCAAGGGAAGAAGTGAATTACTAAGCACTGTCTCTGGTCTCTTTGATCACGCACAGTTTATTGGAATTGGTTTCATACTAGAAATGCTGAGTGAGCCTGTAGAGCTGCCTCACACAGCACTGGCCTGTCAGTCACTTGAACAGGAGACTCTTTCTGCTAGTGTACTATGACTATAAAATAATGCACATAATGGCTGGGAAATAATAAAACTCGGTAGCTAATCTTGCTCTGTACAACTCCAGGAGATACCAGGCAAAAGCTAAGAAGAAGACTTCTACAAATGTCTGTATTTGAAGGAGACAGGAGAGGAGGGAGGGTAGTGTAGACTGTAGATCTATAAATGGACACACATAAGGACATGGGCTATCCATCTAATGTAGAGTGCTTACAAGACTGATATAAATATCAATGATGAAATTATCCCAGTACAGCTAACAAAACGATACATTATACGGCACTGAAACTCGGCTTTCATATGATGCCATCTATTTTTTTTTTAATGTGTTTTGAACATATGAAGACATTACATTAAAATTTTGAAACTGCAGAAATAAAGGACTTCTTTACACATTCAGTGATAGAACACTCTGGAAATCAAGATAAATCTTCCTCTCCCCTCACAACTGCTTCTGAGATTTAAACAGTGACGGTTTCACTTATGGAGAGGAGGGCACAGTGCCAACGTTCTGGCATGCATGACCAAACTGATGATGGTTCAGACGCTCTGAAAACGAACCACTGAATCTCGAAAGAAAAATGCCTATGGGAATATTCTCAGAAAAATATTAGCACTTCTCTCTACTTAGCTATGTGCATAGGTCCCTCACATTCAGAAACACTCACGGCTGCTTGCTCACAATTCTAACAACTTTCAGTACTCCAGATGCAAACACAACTAAATGGTATAAGTGGGCCACTACTTGTATGTGAGATGCGTGTGGTTCCTAAAGAAATGAAGGAGTGACAAACAAACAAACAAACAAACAAACAACACTCGGTTGTGCTTAGTCAGATCTTCAGGATTAACAGAAGTGAATAGACTCTTAAACTTATAATATTCAAACCTTAGCAGAAAGACAGGCTGAGCAGAGCATGTTTGTTACCCTCTTTTTTTTTTTTCTTAATTTCCTTATCTACAATACAAATCAGAAGATAATATTTAATGACTCCAGCATCACTTTGGCGAATAGAGAAACACACAGCATTTAATATTAAGTCATGTCTATTCGTATAAGAGTAGCTACCCAGGAGGAATGCAAATAGAGTTTTATTATTGTAAGGTATCTTTAAAAGTTCCTTAAAAACCCTTCCATGAGTTAGGTTTTCATTGTGCAGGTGACTCCCTTAGACTCCAGCTAGGATGCAGTATAAAAGTAAGAGGGTTGTCCATACTTTTAGGTAAAACTCCAGCAAGGCATCAAAAATGAGAAACCTGAAGGATGCAGTTAGGCAAATCTGATAGAATGTTTCTATTCAGAGTGATACTTCACACTTGCTAATTGTGCCGATCATCTGACACATAAAATCAATTGGGTTCACTACCTACTAAATACTGGCAACTGAAAAGTTAGCAACATGTAAAAGCTGAATATCCATTTCCCAGAAGAAACCAGCAAAGACATGGGCTCTAATTGTAGACCTATGCTGACAGGACATGAGTTTATATATAAAGCCAGTAAAGATAACCCATCTGCTAGACCAAATTCTATCTGCCACAGAAGTTACTTCAAGTAACTTCTTGTTACAGAGTACAGAGTGAAGTGCCCAATGCTTATAATCAAGATACATTTAATTTTATCTCAACCTAAGTAAACACAATTTCAAGCAGAATCTACATGCATATGTTAAAATACATTTACTTTGTTTACAGAAACTATCCATTCTTATCCTTTTAAAGTGTTCACTAAACTTCTAAGTTAAAAAAAAAAAGTATTTAACTTGCAAGCAATATTGTCTACTTATGTTTCCAAAGGCTGAAGTCTGTTTATTACTTTATTGATTTAGCAAACTCTTGACACATCTATAGAAGACCAAAAGTCAGGGTTATCTTACTTTACAAAATATAATGTATATGAAAAGAAAATACACAACATTGAATTCCTGACACTAAATAAACTCATGCAAACTCTGAGATGTTTACTATTCCCGTGACAAAGTGTTGGTTTTTAACTTGAAATTACTTATTTCTCATTTGCCCCTTTGGGTTACATCAATCTGACTTTTCCTAATTCGTAAAAAATACATTTCAGTCAATAAATCTGAATTAAAACTGCCTACCACTGTCTACTTTTTAAAGTAAGCTTTAATGTAACGACGTATCATGATAAATGCCTCCATAACTTCTAAGAATATTAAATAGTGCTTCTGAGAAAGGTCCCTGACTCAAATATATATATATATTTAATATATATTTTATATATATTTATATATATTTATTCATCAATTAGCACTCTGGTTTAACATCTACCCTTGCTGTCTACAGAGTCTAAGTTTGAGCAGGTTCAAAGCTACCATGGCATCCTGAGAGAAAGAGTTTTCTTTGGGCAGGGCAAGTCTATTAAAAAACATGACCTATGACAAAAATCAATTTGCTAATCTCAAACTAAACAACGGTATCAAAAGCATAAAACTGAGATAAAATGTCCTGCAACTTATTGAGCCTAGCTTGACAGGTGAAGGGGGGGCCGGATAGATCCGGCCATCTGAGGCTCCCTTCTGCTAAAAGTAGAACGCTCACCTTTCCAATGAATGAATGCCAGAACACAAAGATCCCTCCGAATTCCAGAGTGACAGACAAGAGCAAAATGTCTCAGATTCCAATAACTGACTCTACTGGGTAAAGCACTTAAATTTAAAAATAATAAGTTGATGTTCCATGCATGCTGCCCAATGAAGTCCAAAGAAGACTACGCCAAGCAATGTAATTAGACTTGGTTTTAACACCATCTCAGCTGGAAAGCTTGCTCTATCTGTCTTGTCAGCTTTAATAAAAGGCATATATTCTCTGGCAGAGTGCCGCCTCTTTCTCTTTTCCTAATAGTGGTTAGTGGCATGTCAAACAGTTTCCCATTCTAATTCCCACCGCCATAACACCCCTTTTATTAAAAAGGCAAACTTTCAGGGGCATCTCCGCTTGTGCTAGGCAGGCACTTAGGACTTTAGGCTGCCTGGGTGTGACTAGGCTGAAGTAACAGGGCGGGGCGACTTCTCCTTAGGCTGGGCAACCCTTAGAGCATTGCTGGAGGAACCAGCTTTCTTCCTTCTGACCCCAGTCAAGCCCCGGGAATCCTGGCGAATTTACGCAGGGCAGGCTGGAGGCGCTAGAAGGGGCTGGTGGGAACTGAACTGGAGACCTCCGCCGGCCCCCTAGCCCAGAGGAGCAGATGCGCCACAACCTCAGGCTCTGTCCTCGGCCTCCCGCCTCTTTTCTCGCAACTTCCACTTAGGCTCAGAGAAAAACCTATGGCCCTAGCTAGGTACAAACGACATTGCTTCCCTCCCAGGACAGCACCAGCGCCAGGCCACAGCTGGAAGCAGAGCGGGGTGGGCCCAGCGGGCCCGACTGCGGGTTCAGATCCGGGAAAGAAAGTAAGGTCTGGGAATGCTCCGGACCCGGTGGGGTCTGCCTGCTGCTGGGGACCACCCTCCTCCGGCCTCCAGGATCCAGAAAGGCAGGGTGGCTGCGGCTGGCTGGGGCCCCGCACGTGCGCTAGGACGGCGGCCGGAACCCGCCTGCAGCCTCCCGCGTAGCCCGCGGGCTTGGGGTCGGGCACGCAGTTGCAGGTAACCGCGCGTCCCTCCAGCTGCCGCGCCAGGCCCCGGGGCCAAGGCTCCCACCTTCCGGCTCGCCAACTCCAGCAGCTCGCTCTGCACTCGTGACGTAACCCGGCATTCGATCAAACTTTCTGGCACCTTGAGCCCACTGGGGCAAAGGAGGGTGCCCGAGCTAGGAGAATCCTTTCCCGGCCAAGCGCGCCCGGCCTAGGCCGACTTCGGGGGGAGGACGGGGGTGTCACCGAACAGTTTTCTCACAGTTAAAAAGAACATTAAAACCTAAAGCTTCCGCTTCCCATCCGCACCCCCCCACACACACACACACTCACTTCTGCTTCCCCTAACCCGTGCGGTCTGTGCGCACACAGGGGGAAAAGAAGGAATTCTGTTTAAATTCAAAACAATAAATTAAAAAAAAAAAAAAAGCACTGACGTTTAGCAGGTTCTCGGCCCCAGTCCTGCGCCCCCAGGCTCCAGGAGCGAACTCCCGGCCCTACGCACCTAGAGCCTTCACCAGACCCCAAGCCCTGAGCCGGGATCCGGAGGTGCGAGCCAGTCTCCCCGGCTGGCGAGCCAAGTCCCCGGTCCCCGGCTCCCGCCCATTTGCGTGCCTTCCCCGCACCCCTCGGAGGCAGCGGCTCCGCTCAGCCCTGGGGATTCCGAGCAGCAGCCAGCCGGTGCCGCCGCCGTAGCTTAACAAAGAGCGGCGCGGAGCGAGCGCTTCCCGCCGGCGCCCGGCAGCCAGCAGCGACAGGCGTCGCAGGCTCCGAGGGCGCGCGCTGCCTGCGGCTGGTGCGCGCCGCTCCCGGCCGCCGCTGCTCCCTGCTCCCGGCCCAGGCCCGCGGAGCCCGGGCTCTCGGCGCCCCCGCCCTGGCCAGCTTACCTGGGGTTGCTGCTGTTCCAGTAGACAGCGTAGCGGTCGGCGACGACTTTGGAGCCCGGGTCCTGGCTCAGCACACACATCCAGAGCACCAGAAACAGCAGCGTCAACATCTCCACGTGCAACATCACGCCTGGCCAGCGGCGGAGCCCCCGACGCGCCACTCCGGGGAGAGAGCGGGGATCCAGGGGGAGGGAGGGAGGCAGAGGGGTAGAGAGAAGAGACCGGACGCCAAATAAAAATATGAATAAATAAGACGAAGGGGCGAGAGGAGCGCGGCGAGCGCGGGAGGAGGAGAGCGAGAAGAAAAGAAGGCAGTGGATTGGGGCGGGGGTGGGGGGGACAAACTCGCACCCCCCCTGAAGGGCTCCGGAGGGGAGAAGAATCACAAGACGGAGAGACGCGTGCGTGCGTGTGTGTGTGCGTGTGTGTGTGTGCGGTGGCGGCGGCGAGGGCGGGGGAAGGGGTGCAGAGCTGTGTCTCGGGCGGCGGCTGCAGGCCGGTCACCCCGGGAGAGGGAGGTGCGTGCGGGGCCGGGCGGCGGCAGCGCGGGTCGGGGCAGGCGGCGGCGCACGCTGCACAGTCACCGGGAGTTGAGCGCCGCGGCCGCGGGGAGACATACACCGGCCCGCCGGGCCCTGCTCAGCGTCGGCGCCGCGGTCTACGCAGGCTTCCTCGGCTGCCCCGGGCCCTCGCTGTGCGCCCCGCTTTGCTTCAAGTTACTTTGGCGGCCGGAGAGAAACTGCGGGAGGAGGAGGGCGCTGTGTAGACCCGGGGCGCGCGGGGGGCGGGATGCGGCGGGGGGGGGTGTCTTCACGCTTGTGGCCCCAGGAGGCTGGAAGCTGTCCCGAACCTCCCTCTCTGTCTTGGTCCGGCGACCCCCGCAAGCCTCGCAGGAGTCCTAGGTACTGCGGTACCCGGAGGTGCGCAGAGAAGGGTGGGGATCCGGATCCGCGAGCCTAGCTCGGTCGGCGTCCTGGACGAACCTAAATAGCCGCAGCTTCTCAGGCGAGGAGAGGAGGAGCAGCGCGTTTGCCTCGAAAAACCTCAAAGAAAAGTTTGGCTCTTCACGTCTTCCAGAAGGTCCCCAGAGGAGTCCGACCGCAGAGGCAGAGAGAGAGATGGCACCCCCGGGCGCTGGCTGAGTCGGGGATCTCTCGGGCTTGCTTCTCTTGGCCGGCTGTGGGTGCAGCAGAGAACGAGGAGCAGAGGTTGTGAACCAGCCAGCCAGGCGGGGCTGGGATGCCCAGACCTGCAGGGCGACGCCAACCCAACTGCTGTGCTGGAAAGCGGGAGGGGAAACAATCACTTTCCAGCCGAGCCCTGCAAGTCCGGGATGGGCTGATGTCAGTCTCCGATCGCCTTCCGGGAGCGAGGCTGAGCCCCTCACACCGCGCGCCAAGAGCCCCGGGGTGAGCTCTCAGAAGTGTCCCTGTGACTCCGACCGGTCCGGCCCCAAACCCAGCAACTTGTAGAGATTCATCAATCAGTTTGAAACCGGGGGAGGGGGGGGGAGTGGAAAGAGAGAGGGAGCGAGCTGGCGGCACCTCCCCGGCGGTGGCTACATCAGAAAACCGTCCCCGATGCGAGGCTGCCTCCTCTTTCCCTCCTTAGGCAGCGCAGCAACGAGAGGTGAAAGCCACCAAGCGAATCCTAAAACCTCTGCCCAGGCGGGAAAATAAACTTGAGTGCAGCAGCGCGAGCAGCCTGGAGAGGTTGGAAGACCGGCGAGAAGTAGAAAGGGGTAAAAGTCAGTTTTGCAAAAGAGGAGGGAAGGGAGAAAAAAAAAAGGAGAGAAAAAATGCTTGATGGGAAAAAAAAAATCTCCTCGGGCACGCCCCCTCGTTAATGACCTGCGTGCAAAGCCGACTGCCGCGGCGGCCCAGGCGGGAGCAGCCTCGGCACCACGCGAGGCCGCGCGCGTGAACGTGGACGTGGGCGGGCGGGGAGGGGGGCTCCGCCCGGGCGTGTTGCACGGGGCGCGGGGTGGGCAGGCGGGCGAGCGCGGGTGTGAGCACCGGACCAAGCAGGGGGGTGGCGCCGCCAGCGCCGCTGCCTGCGCGGCCCAGGTCATGTGGGCTGCTTTTTTTTTTTTTTCCTCCTCTTGACCCCCCCCTCCTTTCCAAGCAGTTTACTTGTGAAGGGAGGGGGGATGATAGGAGTAACCAGTCAGGGAGAGGCCTGCTGTTTGCTTACAGATCGGCGTTTTTTCCTCTCTTTTCTCTAACCGGATTGGTTTGCTCCACGAGAAAGAGGCGTTTTCCTGGTCTCCTCCCTCCCCACGCCTCCGCCCCCCACCCCACCCCCGCCCACCTTCCTGAAACCTGACTAATTGAATTACCGAGAGTGCCGAGGCTCCCTCTCTCTGGCCCAGCCCGGCAGGCAGCACGTGTAACCCTTTGGTTGCTGAAGTGCGTCTGGGCTCCGGAGTGATTGGGCATCTTTTTTACTTGGGGGGCGGGGGGGATCTTTCCAGTGGGAGGAAACTGCCTCGCGTTCCAAAAGGAGAGCCAAAAACTGCCTCTGGGACCGCTCAGGTGATGTGAAGTCTATACCGACAGGCTGGAGCAGCCCTAAGTGAATCCGGGTTCGGATAAATCTCAGCGGTTCGTCATGCCGCACACTGCCCGGCGCTGGGTCATCTGGGAATATGAGCATCTCTCTCTTGTGCCTTTCAACGCCCTCTTCCTACCCGAGATTTACAGGCTTGGGGGCAGGAAATGGGGCTTTTCTTTAACGTGATGCTCTGAGAATACGCTTTGAAAAGTCGGGTGGAGAAAAAAAAAACAAAATCTCGGTGTAAAGTGGTTATCATTCAGGGCGAACCTTCACCTGGAAGGGGATGATGCAGCGCGGGAGCCCATCGGTACTTTACACCTTTTCCAAGCAGGCTGATTTGCTACACACACGCACACCCCACATAAATATCTTGAACTAAACTCCTTACGAGAAGAAAGGGAGAGAAATGGGAGGGAAGGCAACGCCTTCATTACTGAAAAAGGCCACGAATTCCTGGAGGTCGGGAGGTTGCCTCGCCCCGGCCTTTTGAGACCAGCCCAGCTGGACCTCCGGGAAGCAGGGCGCCTCGGGACCGGTCCCCAGTGGTCCTGCGCCCTGGCAGCGAGCCCCACACCCGGCGCTGCGGGACCTGCAGCCTGGGCTTTTTATTTTGGTCTCTGGTGTATGCAGCCTGGTAAGAAGGCCGAACCCAATACAAAAAAAAAGACAGTTTTTTTTCTTTCTCTCTAACACTGCGTCTTTTCCCTTTTACATATCAGACAAATAAAATCAAATATCATATTATCTGTCCTGTGCCTTCCAAACCTCGAGCCCTGGGTTTCCAGGAGCTTCGAAAAAATTTGGAAGCGTCCAGACGCCCTCCAGTGGTAGGCCTGCAGTCCGCACCCAGCCGGGGCATTGCCAACAGCCTGGGCCCAGGTTGAGCTTGATGGGAAAATCTGAGGTCCGGATGAGTGATGACTTCAGAGGAGAGAGCAGTTCCCACAGGCTGGGCGTTACTGGACATGATGGAGATTTTCCCCTTATTATCCTGAAGGAACGTTGATGCTGAGTGACCAGATGTAAATTACAACCGTATCATTAGATTGCATGACCAACCACCTGAGAGACAAATCACCCTCCTAATTTATAAAGGAGTTGAAACTCAAGATGCCCACTTTAACCCTCCTCTGCTTATTTCACCAAATAACAGCGTCAAGAAACAAGACTTAAAGAAGCCGTAGGATGAGATTTTATTTTTAAAAATCAATGTGTTTTTTTTTTTTTTAATTTAAAGTGCTACTATGCCTCTGGTCTGTATATAATCTGTTTTTTTGTTTGTCTGTTTGTTGTTTTCCTTGCTAAGGAAGGTAGATTTCTTTCCCCCAGCCTTTTTGGTAGTAACTCTAAGAGGCACTCATATGATAAAGACAGTTTTGCAAGAAATATCCAGGCCCTTGTAAATGATATGTGTGTCTTTGGGAAGAAGAGAATCCACGACTCCTGTCTTGAGGAAGATGCTGAGCCTGAGAAAGAGTTGTCTTAGAGAGTGATCAGATATCTCGGAACTAACTAGCCAGTTGGCTTCCTGGAACATTACACTGGAAAGGGGTCGGACAAAAAAGAAATCATACTACTTATTTCCCCCTTAGAAATGCATATAAATGGGGAAAAAGAAAAAGGTGGCATATCAGAAGAATGAAAATATTTTAGAATCTTAAACTTCTCTACTTTATTTAAAATGTGAATGGCCCTATTGTAATAGGAAAAAAAAGATATTTTGTTGTGGTCTACCTTAAAATGATTCATGGGGTTGGAATAAGATACTGGAATTTGAAATGGTTCAAAACAAAACTCAGATGTCTATGAGAAATAATCCTCAATTAACGTCTCCTCTGGGGCCAAGTGTTGACATTGGACTTATTAAGCAATATAACCCTTAAATACTTGAGTAGATAAAATTTGAAGACAAGCATATATTAACTATATACACATTACTAGATAATGTGACTCTTCCTGCCGTAAAACACATTTTAAATCTACAGAAAGCAGTTTCATATAAAATAGCATGTTTAACCCCATGTTTCCCATGTTACCAATCTGGCCTTTACACAGTAAGTGGTTTTTTTTTTTTTTTTTTTTTTTTCTCTCCCAGCTAAGGCAGGAAGCTCTTGTCTGACCAAAAGACAACAACCATCAAGAGTAAAGGAATGAAGATGCAGGGAACAGTTGAAGGCTTTAAGTCCCACAAGATGAAATCCGTGGGGCACCTGAGAAATAGGATGGTAATGGTCTATGAATTCAGGGGCTTAGCTATTCTGAAAATGTTTGCATTTAAGAGTACCAGCAACCGAATATGCTGGTGGCTTTAAAACAAGCTACATTAAAGCAGTACCATGTTTGCCCCAAATAAAACACGAACCGACTCTAATGTATTGATTTAATATTTTTTGCTAAGCTTTCTTACTTTAGCTATGAATTAGACTCACTGAGGGAAGGAAGCAGGTCTGTACTAGGATAGTGCCTGAGCCCAAGGTTCTGTCGGGATAGCCCGGGTCTGTAATTTTTAAAAGCTCTCTGGAAGCCAGGATGTGGTGGTGCACACCTTCATTCCCAGAGGCAGGTGGATCTCTGTGAGTTCTTTGAGGCCAGCCTCTAAACAGAGAAACCCTGTCTCAAAAAAAAAAACCTCTCTGGAGAATTCTAATGAGCACAGGGGATGGAGAACCACCCATCCACTGATCCCGATCCAGGTAATTTATTTTTGCCTTAATTACTTCAATCTTCCAGGAAAACAAGTCCCGTTCTTATTTATCAGAAGAGTCCCAGCACAGCAGGCAGAGCTTCTTGATCC